TTCCGTGAATAATCTTTCCGTGAATAGTCCTTCCGTGAATAATCTTTCCGTGAATATTACTCCCCCATAAAACACAATATGAGTGTCCGAGCTCCCGTCAATGGAATTCACAAAAATTAGTGTTTTACGGCTATCCGCTGTTCGTTTGCACTCCCGGAACAACGCATCACATCCCTCGAATGTAAACACTGCTACTTCCTTCTTGACATGCGCAGACAGTTCACAAGAGTAACACAGTGCATAACATCAATAAAGTCATACAACATCCAAAATTTGTCCAGCACACGATGAATGTTCAATAATCCGGCCCCTGAGAACTTTAGAAACCTAACAAAATCTTAGAAAGTTAGATAGCACAGTATGCCAGCCAGGTTGGCTGGAGCACCAGTCGGGTGCGCCGACCCACGTGACCTGCACGTGAGCCGACTCAAGTTGAAAAAACTTATATTAATCTATTTTGTAGAAGATTTCCTCAAGCTAACCTTCCGAGAACGCCCCGGAATAACTTTAAAAATATCCTAAACAGCAGTACGCTGGCTGACACACAGTCCTACGACACGTATGTCGCAGACTACGCTCTCTCCCCAATAGCGGGAAAACTGAAAACTACGCTGCGATCTCCCGAGGTAGAAAAACGGAAATTCCCACCCAGGAACGGTGTTCGCGGCGTCACTGTAGTGAAAACTCGTTCACCATTACGGCGGAACACCTATGGAGTTAGCTATGGCTCGCACTCTGCGGTAATATAGCCCTAACCTAAGGATTTATGTAGACCCCAGATAAGGCGTTGTGTACTCACAGAATGGCTGGCATAGACTCGCTGTTTTTCCGGCTGTTCCTATCACCTCCCGACACCGGTCATTACCACTATACTATCGTGTAAAAAGGTGACTGCTACACATACACTCTCCAACTAAGCGTCTAATTCACGAGTCAGCGTTTTAACAATTAATCCATTTTTGGAGATGTCAATGGTAAAATGTGAAATATCATTACATATTTGTAACATATTGAAATATTTATTATGTTTGATATGATCTCCACTTGCTTCGCGGAGTCCTCTCCGTGCTGGGGCAAGATGAAATGTGCTATCTCCCTATTCAAAAGATTCTTAGTCATCATGAGGAACAATCTATGAAGAATATGTGAAATGTTATCATGAACGATTTATAAACAAATGGTAGTGTTTTAATGCACCCCGGGTAAAATATGTTTTTTCTGTGTTCTCATTGAACTGATATTGTTTTGCTGTGAAAAAAATCCACGGTAACGTATGCAGCGTACATAAAATCTAATCGTGAGGCGTTCAGAAGTATATTATTTCATTTTAACCTGTTATTGTTATATTCCTGTTTCTGACGTGGAATAATCAAAAGTTTTCTTGTGTCATTTTTCACGGCCGTTGTGGAAATGCTCGTCCTGATGTGATAAAGAATACTTTACCGTTGTCACAAAACAATCTGATTATATAGTTTGATCTTTCTTCATCTACATGCATTAATAAATGGTTTCCGAAGCAAAGTTGTTCGATCTACATTATAAAGCGCGTACCATGTGACAAGATTTTAAAACTTCATAAAATAAAGGGCCCGTGAAGATCCGGGGTAGAATAGGTCTTCAGCAACCCACGCTTGCCACAAAAGGCGACTATGCTTGTCGTAAGAGGCGACTAACGGGATCGGGTGGTCAGGCTCGCTGACTTGGTTGACACATGTCATCGGTTCCCAAGTGCGCAGATCGATGCTCATGCTGTTGATCACTGGATTGTCTGGTCCAGACTCGATTATTTACAGACCGCCGCTATATAGCTGGAATATTGCTGAGTGTGGCGTAAAACTAAACTCACTCACTCACTCACTCACTCATAAAATAAAGTACACAATTAGTGTATTTAACTGATGTTTCTCTCCCACCCGCTCTCTTTCGTTGGAGATTTAAAACGCGTATAACAAATACGGATGGCCCAAATGTGATGTCCATTCATTTTAATAATTATATTCTTGTCATTCGGTAACAAATATGATTTTCTGTAACTGTACTTAATATTGTTTTATTTCTTTTCTACAATCGTTACTGCTACGTAGGTCAAACTCCCTAACTTGGTTGACACATGTCATCGTATCCCAACTGCGTAGATCGATGCTTATGCTGTTGATCACTGGATTGTCTGGTCCAGACTCGATTGTTTACGGACCGCCTTCACATAGTTTGAATATTGCTGAGTGTGGCGTTCTACAACAACCAAACAAACCAAACACCTATCTCAGACTCGTACTTGTCATGCGAAAAGAGACGCTTGTTTAGACAGTCACGCGTACACGTGATCCAATCTTAAGAAGTCTAACGTTCAATGCCTTACAGTACTAAATTTTGCGGAGTGCAGCGTTACGAAATACACAAGCAAGTTTTGTAGTTTCCTTATCCATCAAAACCGCCTCCGTGGTGTAGTGGTTAGAGCGTCCGCCCGGAGAGCGGAAGGTCGCGGGTTCAATCCCCGACAGCGGCATACAGAAAGACGTTAAAATATGGTTCTTGTTGGTCCCTGCCTGGCGCTCGGCATTAATGGGTACAAAAAGGACTGGTCGGCTCGGAGTCAGTTTAATATGTCTGAGTGGGATATTCATGCTTCAATGCGGCATGGTATCTCAGTGGGCTAGCACTATGAAACCAGCTTCAGTCTGGGCTAGTACAAGCAGCTGCACATACACATACACACGCATGCACGTCGTCATATGAGCGAAATATTCTCAAGCACGACGTTAAACCAAATTTCACCTCACCTCACCTTATCCATCAAAGATGGCACGATAGAGTATATGGATTTAAACTATGGCTCTGACTTTAAGCAAGTCAGGCTCCGGTTGGTCGAATCCGTAAGTCGATAAATATCAGTGCTGCTTTAGCTACTTTGATTACATGTTATATAGATGAATAGAAATTGCGAAGGGCTTTCTCCTTATCAAAAGACTCACCATTGCCCATTCGGAGATTGCAACCATCAAAGAGCAGATGTAACTGCATTTACCGACGTTTCACTGTACTACGAATGGCAATTATCTTTCCATGCGGGCGTAAAATCTCACACAAGGCCTGTCAGTTGACGAATGAGGAAAGTTTGGTCAGGTTCCAGTAATCGGTTTCCCTGTTCGACAGTAGAGTGATTATGATCTGTATAAGAGATTCCAGTATGAGTTGATCTGTATATGAGATTCTGTATAAGAGATTCCAGTATGAGTTGATCTGTATAAGAGATTCCAGTATGAGTTGATCTGTATAAGAGATTCCAGTATGAGTTGATCTGTATAAGAGATTCCAGTATGAGTTGATCTGTATAAGAGATTCCAGTATGAGTTGATCTGTATAAGAGATTCCAGTATGAGTTGATCTGTATACGAGATTCCAGTATGAGTTGATCTGTATAAGAGATTCCAGTATGAGTTGATCTGTATAAGAGATTCCAATATGAGTTGATCTGTATAAGAGATTCCAGTATGAAACACCCAAAGGTCAGAATCAGTGGATCACTGTCATTATAACCTGTCACTGCTAGATTGTTGTCCTATCAATAAGACCTTGCTTCTCAGGTCTTGTCTTGTGAGTCACTTTGTTACCAGGATGTGTTTGTGTTTAGTGAGAGACACCTTGTTTTGTGGGACATTTTGTTGGTGACAGGGTCCTGTGTTGTGAAAGGATTGTTACTGACGTGCTGTCAGAACTGAGCCACAGCTTGTTTTGAGGGACAATTTGTTACTGACATGCTGTGAGAAGTGAAAGACACCTTGTTTTGTAGAACAATCTGTTACTTTGGTGTGTCATGTAGTGAGACACACCTTGTTTGGGGGCACAGTTTGTTACTAGCATGTCATGTAGTGAGACACACCTTGTTTTGAGGGACAATTTGTTACTGACGTGTCATGTATTGAGACACACCTTGTTTTGGGGACAATTTGTTACTGGTCTGTCATGTAGTGAGACACACCTTGTTTTGAGAGACAATTTGTTACTGGCGTGTCATGTAGTGAGACACACCTTGTTTTGGGGGACATTTGTAGTGAGACACACCTTGTTTTGGGGGACAATTTGTTACTAGCATGTCATGTAGTGAGACACACCTTGTTTTCGGGGACAATTTGTTACTGGTCTGTCATGTAGTGAGACACACCTTGTGACACTTGTTTCTCCCATGTTTCCTGCGAGTGAGACACCTGTTTTCACTTGTCCTGTTTGATCAGGGTTTCTCATGTGTGTCCTGTTAGGTGAGACATCTAGTTTCTCATGTGTGTCCTGTTAGGTGAGACATCTAGTTTCTCGTGTGTGTCCTGTTAGGTGAGACATCTAGTTTCTCATGTGTGTCCTGTTAGGTGAGACATCTAGTTTCTCGTGTGTGTCCTGTTAGGTGAGACATCTAGTTTCTCATGTGTGTCCTGTTAGGTGAGACATCTAGTTTCTCATGTGTGTCCTGTTAGGTGAGACATCTAGTTTCTCGTGTGTGTCCTGTTAGGTGAGACATCTAGTTTCTCATGTGTGTCCTGTTAGGTGAGACATCTAGTTTCTCATGTGTGTCCTGTTAGGTGAGACATCTAGTTTCTCATGTGTGTCCTGTTAGGTGAGACATCTAGTTTCTCATGCCTTATTTGGTCAGACATTATGTTTCTCCAATGAGTCCTGCAAGTAAGACACCTTGTTTCTCATGTGTCAAGTTGGGTGAGACACATCTTATTTCTCTAAAGTGCCCATGTTTCTGTCACATTTTGTTTTGTCAAACATCTTGAGTCTCACATATGCCCTGTTTGGTGGGGCAACTTGGCCCTGTTTGGTAAGATCTCACTTCTTGTTTGAGCCCAGTTATCCGGACTCCTTGTTTCACAAACAGTGTGTTTCTCACAAGACACCTTAACAGACACCTTGTTTCTTGTAAACTGTTAACATTTGTTAACAGCTGAAAATGATCACATATTACAAACAAATAACCAAAATACACACCCATCTAAAACAAAGAGTTATTATAAATTTGTTTTATTTGTTCTTTACAGTGATCGATCATGCTAGCAATACAATAAAATATGCTCTGAGATAATAATCTAATATGACCTATGTACAATCTAATCATGATGTAATTACAAATGAATCAGAAATAAGCAATTATGACCAGGAATCATCCTCAAATCACAGGGGTATGTACATCAACACCTTACCCTTCAGTACACACAGCTTAAATGTCCAGGGTACCAGAAGAACGACTGGAGCAAAAAGTCAGACAAAAAAAATAAAATAATTTTTTTAAAATGTTATCATTTGCCAAATTTGATATATACACAAAAACTACATGATTAACAAAATCTGATTCTTTTAAAAAAATAATCAAGATTGATACTAAAACAGTACAGCTTCTGGCCACCTAAAAACTGATAAAACTGTAAAAATCATCTCTAAAATTTTGTTTAGATGTTTAGGTTTATCTTGTGCACAGCAAGAAGTAAGAGTTAACCCAACGGAGCCAACTAGTTAACAAAAAACCTGTGACCTAAACCACACAACAAAAACTCTTGAACCCAACATTAAGAGTACAGGCTGTCTTACTTTTGGAGGCACTTTCTGGAGGCTTGATGAAAACACCTGAGACTAGAGGATGTCAAATGAAATAACAATAGATGACAATGATGACGACAACAGTGGGATGACAATGATGACAATGTGATGACAATATTGGATGACATGCAAGTAAAACACCACTACAGGTAAAGGGACAAACAACAAAACCAACATTCATGCATACAGATGAGCCACTTGTACACTCATCAGAAACCTTTATCACCGTACGGTCTTCTAGACACATGTCTAAATAAATCCAGGCAGCTGATGTGGTGTGCAGCTTCAAAAAATAATATAACTATATTATATAATACACTCAATACAATTCTTAAAATCAAACAGATAAGAACAAATTTCAACATACTTTCCAAGAAGTGCTGATTTTCATTATCGTTAAAAGATTTGACAAATGAACATCAAACATATAAAATCTTACAAAACCATCATGAGATGACATGATGCTCTCAAATTTAGCTCCAATAACTCAAACTAACCTAAATTAACTCTGAACAGAATTACAAATAGTAACAAAGCAAAATATAAATTATATACTTTACTTTAAATCTGACATAGGAGCTGGGTGCAATCTAGTAGCGCCGAGCCAGAACAAAGCAGAAGGTGGTGGCCAGAACTATGTGAAGTTTTACTGTACACTGTGATGAGATCATACAACTAGGTCTGATAATATGCAAGATCTTAAAACGACTGATTGTGTAACCACCACTTACCCAGATACAACTTGGGAATAAATATCAAGACTATACCAATTTGAAGATGTAGAAAACCCTTTGTCTCACAAACCGAGTATGAAAACGTGCGAGAACTGAGTTTGGTCAGTATGATCACAGTAAGACACCAAGATCCATTTTAACCTCCGAAGAAGCCAAAATGTTGATTTCATATAAAAAATACTAGCAGCGTAATAGCCACTGTGTCACTCATGGGATTGTCTCCCTTGATAATGTGAATCATGTGTGAATCAGAGAAATGTGAAACACACATTCAGTCATGAGAGAAATGTGAAACACATTCACAATATTGAAAGAAATGTGAAACACATTCACAATCATGAAAGAAATGTGAAACACAGTCACAATCATGAAAAAAATGTGAAACATGTATATTCACAATCAGTACAATGTGCCGATGATCTATCCAAATGAGAAGATATGAATGTAGAATCAATCATCAGCAATACATATAGTAGGCAAAATGTGTATAGGATCCTCTTGCAAGGACACAGTTTGTAATATACAGAATACATGAGATGGAAATTTCTTCTGAAATTGGAAAGACTACTAGTCACTTATTTCAAATTAATGAGCTTAGGAAAGCCTATAGCGTATTTTCATAATTTTGTATATCTAATCCTGAATAAGTTTCCATTTTCTCACTCTTTTTAGTCAAAATTTGTTATAACTTCAATTTCAAGAACTTTAATGCAAGATTGCTTTCTGCATATAGGCATTTAGCAAAGAAGACATGTAAAAGAATTAAAGAAGAAATGTGCATTTCCTCATGAAAATGAAATAGGCTCTGAAGCATGCTTAAAACTGTATAACAATAACATGTAGCAGTATTTCAAAGTATCAGTTCACAACCTCATTAAAGCAATCTGATGGGCAGAACATACTAAAACTGTTCGTTCTCAATCAGCATTATTATCATAACACTCTATCTATTGCATTCTATATCTAGCTAAACAAAGATATATCTTTTGGTTGGTTTCACAGCCGATGTGAGAAAATAATATCAATGGCTGAGATTAGATCTCATCTACAGCAACCTTAACTGAAATCATGTAACTATCAAGGTCTTTCTTTTCATGAAAAAAATATAATAGTTTCTATTATGTTTAGCAAAGTTATAAAAAAAGACATCAAGAGGGTATCATTCTCTAAACATAATGAAGAGCTCTATCAAAGCTGTATTAAAACTGATCAAGTTCCATAGAACACTGAATAAAATGACAGATCGTTATAGACACCAAATACAGAATGAGATCCAGTTTAAAGGACAGCTATAAACACACATTCAAGGACAGTCTAAACTGAAACTGGCCATCAGAGCTAATTAAGTATCTTGACGTTTCATCTTAGTAACAGAATCTAAGTTACTATGACAACTGATAAACTGAATACAATATCCAACTGACCTTTAGCAGACTTGAGTAAAGAGCATGACAATAGTCTATGTTATTTACAAACACAAAAAACACGACACATCAGATGTGGTGAAATATGACTGTGTAGAATATTGGTTGAGATTATAAGGAAGTGAAATGTTTTATTCGTGATGAATCAATCATGAGTCTTAAAAAGTGCGTGAAACAAAACATTACAATGTCACACGTAAAAATACATTTTGATTTCAAAGGATTCTCTGATATTAAGACAACAAAGTATGTCCAAACCTAGAACACACTATCAAACATCACACTACCCCTATTCAAGGTTCAACAGATCGGATTAATGGCGTTAGTATCGCCATGGTAATAAAAGACTGAGCATGATGGCAACACAATGTCTTTGGTTAAAATAGGGAGATTGAAATAAACATATTAAGGAACTGACCATCTGATGTCCTAGGGTTGGGGGCTGGGATTTTATTACAAAAATATATTGTCCCCTGAAAATGATTTTCCATATACTTCAATCTTTAAACTGTAAGTAAAAACATACATTCTTGACACAAAACAACATATTGTTGATAAAAGCCTTTGTAAAAAAAAGTTCATTAAAACAATCTTTCAATTTGTTAAAATGGTCAGTCCCTAACACCGAGCAATGACATGTAAAATGCAGTCCTGAAGACGTCCACTTGAAGTCAAGTCTGTAATATTTTACATAAAATAATAGCATGGTTGATATCAGAATAACTGCCTTTGTAAATCTTGTCTTGAGCTGTTGGTATGGTCTTACATACAATGATGTTCCTGTCCAGTTTCAATCAATTATAAATATTAACAAGACTCAGAATCTTTCAACAGAGGAATCGTGCTTTCACGCTGGCCTTTTAAAGTATTTTCTCATCTTTGTTGAAAAAAGGAAAATAAAAGAATGTCACTGCAATTTAAGGGTAGGAAGAAAAACTTTGGGAAGGTAAAAAAGTCTCTAGATCTCTAAGGCCTCAAAAGGCAAATACTAAGTAACTTTCTTAATACAAATTTGCCAAATGCAAACTTGATAGAACACATTTAACTCATAGTTCTGTGTTAAAACAAAGCACAATTCTGTCTTCTAAACCTCTGCTCATAACAAGCCAGTCTGTAGTGTCTCAGTTTCAAGTGGCTAAATATGTCATTTAAATCTGTAGTGTCTCAATTTCACATAATCATTTCACCAACATTGAAATTTGCCATGACAATATATCAGGGGTGGGAGAAGAAATAACAAATGTTTCAGATTTGCAAATTAAAAAAATAAATCACTTCCTGCTAGTTGGACTTAATTCGACTTAATTAATTTGGTTTGAAAACCACAGGTAGCCAAGTGTATCATCAAGTTTCCATTTAAAACAAATTCTCACTGAAGACAAATTAACTACAAATACTTGAATACAAATCACAGAGTCCGATACAAAAGCCACAGTTGGAATCAGTGTGCAAGGATTGGTCACCTTAGACCTGGAACAATGTCACAAGAGGACACATGCTTCAAGATCTAGACCACGAGGAAAACAGTGGTCCTCATCATGCCTTGTCGCTTCTCCACAGGTCAGTACATCATTTTCCATCTTTTGGCAAATCCCTTGTGATAGCTCCAGCTTCTGTATCCACGCGAGAAAGCAATGGTTTTCGAAACTTCAGTAAAATGTTTCTCATGAAAAGCAGGAATTTTCAAAGGCATATATTCATTTGGGTAAAATCATTCGAAGAGTCACTCTGCAGGAACTGTAGTATTGCAGAATGTCTATGATCACACTGTAATGACTCACAAGATTCTATATCTCTGTGGACAAATGTTCCGGGTAATGGTAATCTGTATAGCTGGACATTCACAGTCTATGAAACACTCAAAGAAAATCATCCTTTGTTTATCTCCATCACTCCATGTTTCAACAAACGCTGATCGAGAAAATCACCTTTGTTGTTTTTGCGCATTTTTTCATTTTTTAAGTAACACAAACCATACATAGCACTGACTGATGATCATGCACATCGTGTGTGGTAACGTATCTCAATATACATGATATCTCTTAACAAGTGATATTGTTCATATGGCAATGAACATGACATCTGATAACGCTCATATCACCATGCAGGAAATTGACACTTCCTTCATCAGACTTGGGGCATGGAAACGTCCGCATAATCCGTCATGGTGTCGGCCAGGGCCACTGGTTTCCGACTCCGAGGCTTTGTGTCGAATTGCAAGTCTGCATAGTTCAGAGCATCCTCATTTTTCTGATTTAACAAAAATAAAACAGCGTTAATACATATTGTATAAAACAACTTACTTGGCACATGATCAAACATCTCATGCACAAATCATGTGAATGATCCTAGTTTCAATTTAAAAGAAAAATTGATAGACAAGTGAGTTTGTTCAAAATTGCCTCTGTTCACCCAGCAGAAAATGAGTACCAGGTGAGATAAGATATGTGACCATTAACCTTCTAGCGCTTCACAGGCAGCTTGGGTTATGCGGGTTGATAATAATCAGATTGTGCCCTTTGAGCAGGATATGAAGTCTGGAAAGGCGATAATAAATATTCTTCTTCTTATTATGAATAAAATCCACATTTCTAACAAGAAGTGAGTGAGTGAGTGAGTTAAGTTTCACGCTGCTTTTAGCAATATTCCAGCAATATTACGGCAGGGGACACCAGAAATGGGCTTCATACATTGTACACATGTGGGGAATCAAACACGGGTCTTCGGCGAGACGAGCGAACGCTTTAACCACTAGGCTACCCACTGCACCCAGAACCAACAAGAAGTATTTTCTGTGAAGTGTTGATGATTGTGTCTAATTACCACCTGAAGGGAACTAAACTTTGGTCAACTGGCGGTTTTAGTGGTTGGTGACCGTAATTCTGCATTGACTGACATCAGATGATATCACAGACCAAAGAATATCTAAAGTATATTTATGTTCAGGGTGTAGTCAGGCCAGAAGATCAAGGCCTAATATCCAGGGCCTATTCAAGGCACCACTATTCAAGGGACTCTAGAAATCAACTGGATTCCAAAAACATCTGTCTCTCTTTGTTTAATTTCCTGCCCATCTCTTTTTGTCAGTGAGAAAGTTTACTCACATTATTGTACTGGTTGTATTTCTTGGGATCATTCGTGACCAGGTCTGGTTTTGTGCTGTATATCGACATATTCTGGTTGCTGTAAAGAGACAGATTGGATATTGATAAACACTGAAACTCAAATCTATGTATCACATTTCTTGAATAGTGAAAAGAATAACTCAATAAACAACAAAAACAAAGATGATGCAACTAAGGCTGTTACGATTCACTCACATATTCGGAGAATCAAACTGTAGCCCTTCATGAATTCAATTCGTAATTCATGGTCACCAGAAACGAATATTAATGAATATTTACGATTTTCTTAAGGGAGCATGTTTTACTTGAACCCTTATGTCCTTTCCAAAGTGAGATATGCAAGAATGGAACATGTACTGGCAATGCAGTAGCGCAAGTCATGTTAGTTTGCCAAGACTGCACATGGTACTGTCGATTATAACTATTACATACCAAATTTGAGTGTCATGAGATCACTGATTATTGCTGTGACAAATCGAAACTGTCAACATGGGCGTTCCAAATTGTACATCAATCACTTAACTACAATATTGTATTCGTGAATAATTATTCGTATTCGTTACCCAATATCCATGCTATATACGTATCATATTCGCCACATAGTGTATCCGCATATATTTATATATTATGGCTGCATTTCAGAACATTAAAAATATTTTTAAAATTGGGTACTGTGTGAGCATATTATATTTCGCAGATGAATAGAGAAAACTCTTTGGAATAATCTCCCTTCCACCGTGTCGTTTTCTAGGTAATGGTATACATACTATTCTGTTGACCCTTGAAGCAGAGTTACAAAGTATCTACCAGAAATATAACTTATTCACATAAATGTACCTTCAATGAAATGTTTAATTCATAAAAATAAAGTCAGATACGGTCAAACACTGCCATGTTGTATTTCAATTTACAACTGTTTTTAAATATTCATATTCTTTCATTATCATTTTTTTTTCAGTTGTGTTGAACTTAGTGCACTGGAAGTATTTATGTACGTTCCCCTCAACTTTTGTTTGACTGTACTTCCATGCCATATTTGTATTTTTCGACAATTTACATCTGGCCCCGATTTCTCGAAACAAACTTAAGTCTGAGTTTTGACTTAAGTAAGAGTTTTGACTCAAATTTGAGAAAAGGCAGGAAAATGCATTTCCCAGAATGAACTGAAATCGATATTACACTCAAACATAGTTGACAATTTGAGTTGGGTAGATCGGCTACTTAAATTGTTTGGCCTTTTTTTTTTTTTTAAATGCAGTTGAGTTAAGAAATCAGCTGTTTCAAATTGTCAAACTCAATTTAAAATTTGAGTAAAACTTATATTTTTTCGAGAAATCAGGGCCTGGAGTTCTATTAATCACTTCTACTTACTTGTACGGTTTTTCCGATGGTTCTGTAAATGAGATAAAAACAGAATGTGAGACACAGGAAAATACGTCATGTAATCAGTGAGTGAGTGAGTTTTGGTTTTACACCGCTTTTAGCAATGTTCCAGCACTATCACGTCGGGGGACACCAGAAATGGGCTACACATTGTATCCATGTGAGAATCGAACCTGGGTTTTCGGAGTGACGAGCAAACACTTGAACCACTGGGCTACCCCACCGCCCCACATGTAATCAGTCACTGGAGAACATTTCAAACACATGATCAACATGAATTCTGACTATGCAAATATTGTACTGTTGTCTTGTTTTTGTTAGCTGCTTACAACGGCACACATCAACATATGTCAGAACCAGGGAATCCGATGACTGACATAATGCGCATCCATCCATAAAACTGGAATATGTTGGCATCCAGTCAAATCACCAGGTAATACCACCTGATCCAGTTTGTCAACTCTTATAGTCCATTTGATTTCATTTTAGACCGATGAATTGCTCTCAAACACAAAATTGCAACAAAACCAAATTTTGCACAGTCACATGAAATCGAGAGACCAACACTGATGATTCACAAAACCAAATTTTGCACAGTCACATAAAATCGAGAGACCAACTCTGATGATTTGTCTCATAATTTTGGAAACCCGAATAAAAATGTTGTTTAACAAACACTCATTATTTTGTTGTCACTTTTCACTATTTCTTATGAGGGGGGACCACTTGCTGGTAGGACAGCCAGGTGTGCTAACACCTGGTGGGAAAACTGACTTAAAGTGAGGGTTGTTATCCGTCACAACACAGACCTTCAATGTGATTCTTTGCCTGTTTTCTCCTGTACAAGAAGACACCAACAATGATGCCGACGATGAGCAACACCCCAACCACGACGCACACGGCAATGATGACAGTATTGTCACTGTCGCCTGAAACACAAGGTAGATATGTACAATACAACATTGTCTTCATAGTCTTTGTGTTGCACAGATAGAATATGTCGAAACAAGGTTTGTAAAACTGCAATAATAAACAGGTGAATGAAACTTGCAACTAGATAGAACAATAAAGGCATGCAGCTTCCTTGTTGGTACAGAAATGAAGAGACACATGCCGTCGATCACTTATAGGACAACACTAATTTAGAATAAACTTTGAGTCCCAATGACAGCGTTAAATGTGTCTTTTTGTACATGGATATCAACATTATCTAGCTCTTGACACTACCTCAAGTTCAGGGAAGCATATGCCAGTGGAAGGAGTAAACCTTTTGGGGTGGACATGCTACACCATTGGACTTTTTGTTTTCACTAACTTTCTGGGGTGAGGGCTAGATGGGGTGGGTGTTAAAGGAGGCCTTGGTGGGGTTATGTGGGTTCAGGTGAGGTGGGCTGGGGTTGGGTGGGTTGGGCTGGAGTTATGGGAGATGGGGTTAGGTGGGATGGGTGAGGTTTAGTGGGGGTAGGGATGGATTTAGTGGGATGGGAAGGAGTAAAGTGGGATAGCATTATGGGAAGTGGTGTCAAAAGGAAAGGGCCAGGTTAACTGAGGCTGGATGAAGAAAATTCAAGAGGCTGTCAAGATACAGCTGGTGGGATGGGCAGACCGTAGTGGGTCTACAGGTAAAATGAAAAGGGTGGGGTTGAGAGCTGTCTGGTGTTGATAAGGTAGGCAGGTGTGGACTCTGATGTTGCTGTGAGGATTGCCTTTTTCTACACTGCTACTGATGCAAACAAACCTCCATGCAAACATGCAACAGAACAGTCATAATAACACACATCACAGTAGCTGACATCCAACCATATCTCACTCGATGCAAACACATGAAGATATTTTTCAGTTTGGACATTAGTGAGTGAGTGAGTGAGTGAGTTTGGTTTTACGCCGCTTTAAGCAATATTCCAGCAATATCACGACAGGGACACCAGAAATGGGCTTTTGGACATTAGTGAAGTAGCAGGCATTCACCATGTGAAAATCATCAGCTCATCGATCACATTGTATAAGGATACGGCCCCACATATAGTTTTCTGGATAATAGAAGATAGTATAGTGTGAAAATGTTTTAACCACTAGGGTACTCCACCCAATAATTATAAAATACCTATTGTGCTTTCTTGATATTTTGAAAGTCAAATGGCAAAAACATTACATTATACTTGAGCTTATCCACGACAGAGTCATGGACACAGCACATCACACAACAGAGTGACGGTCACGGCACATCAGACAACAGAGTCACGGTCACAGCACATCACAAAACGGTCACAGTCACAGCACATCACATGACAGAGTCACGCTCACAGCACATAACATGACAGTCACGCTCACAGCACAAAACGGTCACAGTCACAGCACATCACATGACGGACGCAGTGACAGCACATCACATGATGGTCACAGTGACAGCTCATCACATGACGGTCACAGTCACAGCACATCACACGACAGTCACAATCACAGCACATCACCTGACAGAGTCACGCTCACAGCACATCACATGACAGTCACACTCACAGCACATCACACGACAGAGTCATGCTCACAGCACAAAACGGTCACAGTCACAGCACATCACATGACAGAGTCACACTCACAGCACATCACACGATAGTCACGCTCACTGCACATGATCCGACAGAGTCACGGTCACAGCACGTCACATGACAGTCACGCGCACAGCACATCACATGACGGTCACTAGTCACAGCACATCACAGACAGTCACGCCACAGCACACCACACGTCACAGAGTCACGATCACAGCACATCACACGACAGAGTCACGCCACAGCACATCACACGACAGAGTCACGCTCACAGCACATCACACGACAGAGTCACGCATCACATCATCACATCACAGCACAGAGTCACAGCACAGCACATCACATCATCACAGTCACACAGCACATCACACGATAGAGTCACAGCACATCACATCATCACAGTCACAGCACATCACACGATAGAGTCACAGCACATCACATCATCACAGTCACAGCACAGTACATGACAGTCATAGTCATAGCATATCATGTCACAGAGTCACGGTCACATCACATCACACGACAGCCACAGTCACAACACATCACATTACAGAGTCACGATCACAGCATATCATGTCACAGAGTCATGGTCACATCACATCACAGAGTCACGGTCACAGCACATCACATGACAAAGTCACAGTACATCACATGACAGAGTCACAGACACAGCACATCACATGACAGAGTCATGGTCACAGCACATCACATGACAGAGATGTAGTTACCACACATCATATATTTGATAAAATGTCACATGACAGAAGTATATTGTTGCATCACATCACATGACAGAGGTATAGTCAAAGTGCATCCTATGCTAATGTCACGTGACAGGTCACAGCTCATCACAGATATGACATGACATGAAGAGACATGACAGACATGTGACTGACACATGACTACAGTTAACAGGTCAACATACCTGGAGGTTCTGGTTTAACAGCATCAGTATTTCCAGGAGAAGGTCTTTGTGTACTCGTAGCGGTTGTAGTGGGAGGGGATGTGGTTGTAGCAACTGCAGATGTTGGTGAAGAGAGAGACAGACAGAGAGGAATACATGCATTAGTTCAGTCACAGTTAGATGATCATGCTCGTGCAAAGATATACAAGTCATTCCTACAACAACTTCAGATATATCTGCCATATCAGTACCTTATTCATCTTGCTATTTAGCACTTTAAAGCCGCAGCTCTAACACTGGGTGGCTACTACAATCGCATGTGCAGTTGAAAAAAGTAACTTATTTTCTTACTTCAGCAAGTAATAAACTTCAAAATATGAAAAATGTCACGTTTTGAAATCAGGGCTCAAATGCTGCAGTCTCAAATTGATCCTGACACACAGCAGTATTAAGGATGAGTACTTCGATATAAAGTTTCAGACGTCTACAATGCTGTGGAAACAACAATTTTCAAAAGGTTTCTGTCATATACTGAAGCGTTCCACAAAATTCTCCTCCATAGCCATAATTGTCTGTCTAGTTCGCAGATAAAACACCTCGTCCAGAATAATCTGGATTTTCCAGAAGGGTACCTTGGGTACTTGCTTTAGAACTGATATCATCAAATATATTTTTAAACCAGTAGTGTGTACTCACCAACATTGATGTTGAGGGACTTTGATGCATTGTACGTCACACCCCCAACAACATTGGTGGCCAAACATGTGTATATTCCAGAATCTTCAATTTGGAGATTAGAAAGCGTTAATTCATCGCCAGATGATGTGGAATTATCCTCTCCTTCTTTCTGCCAGGTGTAGGTCGCTGGTGGGTTGGTAACAGCGTTACACTTCAGGGTGACGGTGTCGCCAACGATGTGTGTGCCCCCTGATGGGTTGGAGCTGACATCGGGGTCACTGTCACTGAACGTATCTGAAAACAACAGGACAAGTGATATAACCTGGCTTTGTGCTGCTTTCAGCAACATTCCAGTAATACACTTCACAGGGACACCAGAACTGGGTTTTACATCTTGCACACGTGGGATTCAAACCAGGTTCTCAAAACAACAAGGTTCACCCAACAAGCCCGAGGCCAATATGGAAACGGGGGTTAAAGGAGGAGCATGTTTATAACTACCATTATTCAACTGTTATAATGTTTCATAGCTAAACTGGATAGAATTATCACTAAAATGCCTGCACGTTATCAGAAATGAGCGGGCCACTGTAACTTGATAATGCCCCCAAATTGCTTGACGACGGGCCATTATCAAGCCCGTTGTTAGGTGACGTCATAAGTAGCTCAAATCTTGATGTTCAAACACCTACGGCTCGTTTGAACTTCGGTTCATTATTGATGATATTTCTGACTCACATTCGTCATTATGCACTTTCTTGCCAGTGCCAACCTTAACAATTGTACCATAAATTACAACATGCAGCAATGAAAACTTCGACTGGAACTCTAACGTTGTTGAGCAATGAAAAGAATGGCGGCTGGAAGTATGGGCATAGGTCAAGGTCAAATGGTGTCACGCTCAATAGTGACGTCATCTGTTTTGTTCTATGATGTTTCCATATTTGTAAAAACGTGGGTCAGTGACCGCCGTCGTTTGTTGTTAGCAGTAAATGCTTCAAAACCGATACCGTTGTTTGTTTTTATTTGATCAAAAATTCTATCAATTTTATCTATAATAATAGCGTTACCCTTATAATAACAACTGTCACTGCCAACCTTTATAACTACGACCAACAACACTTTTTTCATTGACACCCAAATGATAGCAAAGTCTGCTGAACCATTAACATGTTTTCATCACAGATCTCAAGGTACAGTTAAAAACAACTGGCGTTTCATCTACATCAAAATCAAAGTATGGCACATATCCACATTATATAAAACACACTGCCCCCTTCATTTTCCTTGAGACAAAGGGTATCAAAACATTTTCAGGACTTTATCAACTTCTTAACAGACATTCTTCATTGCGGAATTTGAAAAAGAGGCATTTGGACATATTGAGTGACAGTCAATCAATGTCCCCTTGTCTCAAACCTCTATACTTACAGAAAACTGTGATGGCGTCAGTTTGATAGCATGTAGAGTCGCATGTGTCGGATCCCGTAGGCGGTGTGATTGTAGAGTGGTTTGCAGCACATCGGATGATCATCCCATTGTCCAGTCTGCTGACATTCAGAGTGAGCTGACTTATTCGTTCAGAGGTGCAAGTTCCTGAACTCGGATAGGGAGGATTTAGTCTGGCCAGACTGGTAATGTCCGTAGGGGTGTTGTCACGGTACCGGAACCACAGGAAGTCTCCGGCAGGTTTTCCAACAGCTCCCTGGCACCGGAACTCAACCTGCTGCCCTTCCGTGTAGCCGGTGCTAGTTGCAGGAGACGGTGTTATGGCTGGTGTCCCTGGCTCAGCTGCAATGAAACAAAAACACCATCACTAAGATATCACTATACATTTAACAGGTGACCCCAGCATGTTGAAGTACAAGTGTGTCTAAGGTCGTCCATGTGGACAAGGAACCCATGCTTGTCTGTAAGAGGCAACAAACGGGACCAGGTGGTCAGGCTCGTAAGAGGCAACAAACGGGACCAGGTGGTCAGGCTCGTAAGAGGCAACGAACGGGACCAGGTGGTCAGGCCCGTAAGAGGCAACAAACGGGACCAGGGGACCAGGTGGTCAGGCTCGTAACTGGGATCGTAAGAGGCAACAAACGGGACCAGGTGGTCAGGCTCGTAAGAGGCAACAAACGGGACCAGGTGGTCAGGTCCGTAAGAGGCAACAAACGGGACCAGGTGGTCAGGTTCGTAAGAGGCAACAAACGGGACCAGGTGGTCAGGTCCGTAAGAGGCAACAAACGGGACCAGGTGGTCAGGCCTCGTAAGAGGCAACAAACGGGACCAGGTGGTCAGGCTCGTAAGAGGCAACAAACGGGACCAGGTGGTCAGGCTCGTAAGAGGCAACAAACAGGACCAGGTGGTCAGGCTCGTGAAGAGGCAACAAACGGGACCAGGTGGTCAGGCCCGTAAGAGGCAACAAACGGGACCAGGTGGTCAGGCTCGCTGACTTGGTTTACCCATGTCATCATATCCCATTTGCTTAGATAGATGCTCATTCTGTTGGCACAAATTCTCTTGTCTGTGGTTTTGTTGTAGTTTCCTCCCTGCACCATAAATGTGATCCTCTGACTATCAGTAATGGTGTATGTACTAAAGTAGTCCAGTTTAATGAACATGGCTTTATTTTTCCCATTCACTGGCAGGGCTCGATTTAGTGCTTTGTTACTTGCACTGGTGCAACTCAATATCACAACGTGCAAGTTATTAGTCAAAAGTGCACCATGTGCAAGTCAATTTTTGAGAAATAAATCAATAACAAATCTAAGTATATCAGTTCATTTTTCTTCTAAACTTTGAATAGCTATGGCACCGATACATTGCCATTTATAGACACTTCTCGGCTATGACAGCTCTTGTAAACGGGAATCAGCTGCGTATCTGTGTTGCTATGATTTCATGGGTACTACATCACGGAAATATGTTTATGTGCACCAAAACCTCTGATGTTTTAGCACACAACATTCCAACTGGAATTTGGCTTGTGCAACTAGGTTTTTATCTTAGGTTGCACCTGGTGCAAGTAGGTTAACATTCCCTAAATCGAGCCCTGACTGGGAAATGAATACAAGAACATGTCCCGAAGTCAAGCAATCAGAAAGCATGAATTACTAACAAAATGAAAATTACGAACACAATGAAATTCAGTTTTTGGTTTTTGAACATCCAAGTGAGTGAAATTACCTATGATCCTCAATGTCCTGTAATTACTGGGGTGGAAAGAAACGGAAAGGTCATGATATCAGAGCTCCAGATAAGATTTAGCTTATGTGGGTACTGTACCCACTGTATTTTTGGGAGTGGGTATTATGACTGTTGAGTGGGTATTTCATTTTCCGTTACCCACTTCTTTCAAATATGTGCGTATTTCAGTCATTTTACTCACCTAAGTATTATGTCATTGAGTAAGTTTACTAAGCAGGTATGTTCTGCCTTATGTCATACCTAATCAAAACCAACTTAAATATAATGGAAATGATTTCATAAAAAATCACTCATCCTATACTGACAGTACAACACTTGCCCTATACTAACAGTACAACTTGATAGCAATCGATGTCTTTTTCATAGCGCAAGCGATTTTTATAAATATATTCTGTACACATTTGTTTTTAACTTTTTGCGTATCTAACATTTTAAATGCATAATTGGTACGCAAGAAATATTTTTCAATGCGTAATTGGAAATTTTCTATGCATATTTTTACCCGATATGCAGCTTATCTGGGCCTCTGATGATATGATGTAGTATCCCAGAAATGGGTTATATCAATGTGACATCATGAAGAACTTACCCCACCGCCCCTGGGCCTCTGTGACTATAAACATTTTACAGCATGAAGAACTTCTTGTGACTATAAACAAAAGCTAGCTTTGATGCATGTTCATGTAGTTATTTCACGATTCATTTTGCAATATTTGACTGACAAAACATGGGTAGGAGAGTGTAACTGAACGAGAAGTATCTCAGCAAGTGTATCGATACAGAAACAAACGTATCCTGTATCATACTGTTGCATAAAAGCTCATGATGAACCCAGTGGAGAGTGTATCATTTTACCCACAGTAATTACTTAACGTTTCAAGGTGATGTTGATAAAATTCACTTACCCAGCAAAAGAAGGTTCATCTCACGTTTCAAGGTGATGTTGATAAAATTCACTTACCCAGCAAAAGAAGATTCATCTCAGCTTCTTCTGAAGCAGCCGCGCCAGCAACTGTTTGGTAAGAAGCAGTACACTTGTAAGCTGCCTCATCCTCACACTCAACACGATCAAATTGCACACTTGTGGAACCATTGGATAAATCACCAGATAAGATGAGAGTTGTCCGATCTTTAAAATTCTGTGTAACACTTGCATCATAGAGTGATGAGCTTGCAGGTGGTGTGAACAGTGCAATGTTTGTGAAACCTGGGTCTGTAGCTCTCTTCCTACTCATGGTCATTGAAAAAAGTGTTTCTCCTGTTTCCACGACATAGTCACACTTGACAGTCACAGGGTTGGGTCCTATAGTCCCCGTCTCATCTTTTGTTGTCAGTGTTAATCCATACACATGAGAAATACCTGGAAAGAAAAAGATACATGATATATTATGCTTAAAGCTTAAAGGATATCATATTACTACATCGTAGATAGAACTGAAACGATTTGTATATTGTCCTTATATTCTTTTATAGGCTACTGATGACAAATCACAGTAACCATGGTAACAGTCCACAAGTCTCGCTAACAATCAACAAACTGATGCAGCAAGCTGAGACAAATGACGACTCGACCCGTGTAGTATTTCACTCTGTTGTCTCATCATCATCATCTTCATCATCACCATCATGAATGTGTTCCAGTCCACCCAGCTGTGAATGGGTAGCTCGTAAGGATGAGAAAGCCGCAATAACTTGGTGCACCTAGTGGCTGCAAGAGCTGTATGTTCCCCAGGGAGTTGAGATTGATAATATGACGTGCCATTGAGATTGACATCCAGTGATCGAGGGAAAAAAAATACCAGCGCCTTGAGCATGTACAAGTTGCCTGGATATGTGCTATATAAATATCCTATAATGATATTGATACCCATGTACAAGTTGCCTGGATATGTGCTATATAAATATCCTATAATGATAATGATACCCATGTACAAGTTGCCTGGACATGTGCTATATAAATATCCTATAATGATAATGATACCCATGAAGATCTGTGTTACGACTGATCTTCAGCATGTTGTTGTATCCCAATTGGGTAGATCGATGCTTATACTGTTGATCACTGGACTGTTTGGTCCAGACTTGAATATTTACAGAGAGACGCGATATAGCTGGAACATTGGTGAGCACGGCATTAAACAACAAATCAACAAAGAAACATTAGCATGATTAACTGAGTGAGTGAGTGAGCTTGGTTTTAAGCCACTTTTAGCAATATTCCAGCAATATCACGGCAGGGGGGACACCAGAAATGGGCTTCACATATTTTACCCATGTGGGGAATCGAACCCAGGCCTACGGCGTGACGAGTGAACGCTTTAACCACTAGGCTTCCCAACAGCCCGATCATGAATAACTGATTAGTGTAATTGTACAAATTTTACAATATTTGTTAAAAAGATGGCAAATGAAATATACTGAAAGTTCCTTTTATTGTAGTGCCAGTGAAAACAATACATTAATTACATCCTTCTGAACCACATGGCAAAGTAGGTTATCAGTGTCTCGAAGTAAAGCTAAATAACTGATATCTGGTCCTTCAGTTTTTTTGTCTTGATAATCATTACAATCATCATGGTAATGTTATATGTACATGTTGAATATGAAGCTTATTCATCAAAAAACATACTCAAAATATTTCTTAAAGCCATAATCATCCTGTGATGAACTCGTGTATATGCAACATAATAGCTTGCTTGAAGATGAAAGGGGAGACAACTCCTCCCAGTCCCTGCTTCAACTGACTGCGCCCCAACAGCAAACAGTGAGTGTCAAATCTGCCCTCTCTGTCACAAATTATCTGCACTGTGTAAATAGCCTACACTCAGGTCACAAAGACAGGGTCTGGGTCCTCTGCCAAGACAGACAAACGTTGAAACGCATCCTTTGAAGTTGCCTGTTTCTTGGCCAAGCCATAGATTTTCCCTCACCTGGCTGAAGTCTGTTAAAGTTAAAGGCCTGCTTGTTAGAAGTAGAGGGTGTTTAATTAGAACTTAAACAGAAATTAGCAGCTGAGAAACCTTCAAAATTTCAAATATTTGTTCATCAATGTAACAAATGCCATCAACACTTGAGTCTTCTCGTCCAAAACTTCCATTAAAAGATAGTTAGTCTGAAATTCCCATATTAATACAATTATTCACACACAATAGTATTGCAAACTAAATGGATTTTTATCACTAGTTAGGAGTTTGAACTAAGGATCCAGCAATCACCCTAATATTAAATGTGAGGGGCTTTATAATTAGACTTAGATTTAGATCCCATGTGAGCAAACCTTAGCCTTGCTCCAAGGCTGTACTGAATGCTAAGCCCATGGATGTATGGTATGGTTCTATCCTTTAAAGAAGCAACTCCAGATAAGTGGACAGTCTAAGGATGCCAGTCTGTTATTTATATGTTTCAGAATGTTTCATTTAAATTATTAATTATTACCTAAAATACCTGTGCAAGTCTAGGCAAACCTCAACAAACCCCAGGACCTTACTGACCAGTGTCCATGGTGTTTGGTATATCTACTTTTTTCCTTCTAAAAATGCTCACTTGTGCACTTAGTTTAAGAAGCTGAATAAAAAATTAACACAGATGTCAAAAGGATAGGTAATCTGCTGATTAATTACTTAATTTCATTCCAACATAAGGCAAAATCAGGTGGCAAGAAGATTCCAATATTTATATTTCAATTTTCAAGGGAAAGTTGCCATGAAAATTAACTCAGCTCAGGACACGTCTTCCTAATTTGTTCAGATTCCCATGAAACATTCAACTGATGTACATGTGTTTACATCCATACATGTAAATAATGATATTCTTCACACCACAAGACCACATTGACTAAATATGGAGGCTCAAAGTTCAAACAAACTATGTTCATATGGTCCACACGAAAGATCAATATTCATATTTGGTCAGCAAGTGGCCTGAAGCTGGACAACCGGTTGACATGACCGATGAAATACGAGCCCAGTATTTACCCAGGTCTGACAGCGTGTGACATTGGAGATCAGCACCTGTGAGAAACCCACAGGCTCTCAAGGGAGCCTGATAACAATAGATAGTCCCCACGAGGGCAATATTACATTTATAGCATGCAGTTAATCTGTAAACCTGGACAGGCACAAAGACCCTCCGGGAAAGATTATTTACTTAGCTTGAGTACTGAAACATATTAGTATATTTTAAGTACATACACAGAGGGTAAATAGAAATACATTGTACATTATCTTCAACTTCACAGTGGTGTTTATTAGGGTTGTTACAATTCATTAAAGAACCATGCATCAAAATAATGTGCTGCGATACAAACATTAAGAGATGAGGTGAAATTGGGTTTAACGTTGTGCTTGAGAATATTTCGCTCATATGACGACTTGCATGCATGTGTATGTGTATGTGCGGCTGCTTGTACTAGTTGTTTTGATTAAACTAAGGTTCACACTATCTCTCAGTTCCTATACATTGTTGCAAAGTCTTCTTTAAGAAACTCTTAACAAGTTTAATAATTGAGTTGAGACATCATATTTCAATGATGGATACTAGAAACTTACTCTGCCAGTGAGTGAGTGAGTTCAGTTTTACGCCGCACACAGAAATATTCCAGCTATATGGCATGCAGTCTGTACATCAATCCCTCAATGATTGAGCGATTCTGCTGTTGCAGAATAAATCGCGGAAATCACCTTTTGATGCAGAAAAACATCTGGTCTGCAGAAGATGCATTTTCATGCAGAATAAGCCATTTTTATGCCGCGGAATTACTTACTTTGAAAGTTGAATCCAGATTGACCATCAACCGAAACAAAGTAGGAGTAAATATCAAACTATGATTGGTTACACAAAAATTAACTGAGACATTTCTTATAACGATATTTTCAAAATATTCACGAATAAAGATGATTTTTTCATGAGGTAATATTTTCTTCAGCACCTTACAATAATATTATTTGAATTTGACACTGCAATTATGTTTACAAAATCGATCTTTTTGAAAATTGAAATTGCAAAATTTTGTGTGGGTCTTTTCAAGTTTTTAACTGCAGAATTATTTGCAGAATTTACTTAAATTTGCTGCGGAATTCTTAGAAATTCGTCACGGAATACAGGAGAGACTGGTAAATAATCGAGTCTGGACCAGACAATCCAGTGATTGAGCAGCATGTGCATTGATCTATACAACTGGGATCACGATGACATGTGTCAACCAAGTCAGCGAGCCTGACCACCTGATCCCGACCTCTGACAAAGAACATGCTGAACAAATACATTACCGCTACTAGTAGTACCAACCCTTCATCCCTTGAGTACAGATCTGTACCCGTTACAGTTTCTGCTGCAAATACTATAACTTTGTGTGCATGTACACAGAACCTATTCTGCATCACTGTCTATGTACATATCAAATAATGTAGGTATATCATTTGAAAATCTTTTTTCCCAAATCAGATTTCATACGTAATGGCACATTAATACTAACCCAAGAGAAATTAGGTCTTGCTCTGTAAGTCTCAAACGAATATATCTCCCCGTTTCATCTAAGTTGTCTTAAATATTAATGGCACATATCCTAAAGAGCACATAAAATCAACTTCACCTGTTAGAGCAACAGAAATATCAATACGAATTCAAGAGAAAAATGATAGTCTTGCTTCAAAGGTCTCTAATGGCATATGTCCCTATTTCAGCAAAATGATTTTAATATTTATGACACTTACCCTAAAGAGTATATGAAATCAATTTCACCTACAGAGTAGAACAGGAATACCAAGGAAAGTGCTGTATAGATCTCTAACCAATATATCTCCTATTTCATCAAAACTAACTTTAATATTTATGACACATCCCCTAAAGAGCATGTCAAATCAATGAAGATCAATACAGATAAGGTCCATCAAATGATTTTTCTTTGTGACTCCTTGGCAATTATCAAACACACTTAGTCATCAATGCTCAGCGTAGAATAAACACATGTTTTTACTTCACTTCCATTTGAGAGCAAGTCATGTTGCTTTATTGTTCAGCCATGTGCAGCAGCAAATTGTCCTGTTACAAGGCGAAGTGCCACGCCCACAAAATCCTGCAATGTCATACACTATCTCACTTAAAGGGAACCATTTGTTTTATTTGTTGTTTCATTCATTAATTGTTGTGTTCAGTCTTCAGAACAACTCAATGCCTATGCATCTAACTCAATTTGGTTTACATTTATACCTTTCCAATTGTGTATTTTATATTTGGTTATGTATATATACAGACTCCAAAATCTTTCAAGTAAAATGCTCCGAGTTTGTATTTAGCGAGATTAAAGGGAACCATTTGTTTTATTTGTTGTTTAACGCCACACTCAGCAATATTCTAGGCATT